TACTTGTCCACATGGGTATAGATTAAAATCAAATGGAAGAGACTGCCGAGGTAAGGGTTTAAATAAAAATGCCATCATTTTTTACGCTAATTCAATACATGGTTTAGAGTGGGAACACTGCTAACCAGTGAAGCCTGTTGTTATGCAGAGAACTCTTGTTTAAGATGGCAGCACTTGCAAAAGTTTTGCCAGATAGGTTTTAATAAGCAGTCATGTGTGTGATGGTTTAGATAGATTTTAATAAGCAGTCATGTTTGTGATGTTTTAGATAGGTTTTAATAAGCAGTCATGTGTGTGATGGTGTAGATAGATTTTAATAAGCAGTCATGTTTGTGATGTTTTAGATAGGTTTTAATAAGCAGTCATGTGTGTGATGTTATAGATAGGTTTTACTAAGCAGTCATGTGTGTGATGATTCAGATGGGTTTTAATAAGCAGTCATGTGTGTGATGGTTTAGATAGGTTTAATAAGCAGTCATGTGTGATGGTTTAAATAGGTTTTAATAAGCAGTCATGTGTGATGGTTTAGATAGGTTTAATAAGCAGTCATGTGTGTGATGGTTTAGATAGGTTTCAATAAGCAGTCATGTGTGTGATGGTTTAGATAGGTTTTAATAAGCAGTCATATGTGTGATGGTTTAGATAGGTTTTAATAAGCAGTCATGTGTGTGATGGTTTATATAGGTTTTAATAAGCAGTCATGTGTGTGATGGTTTAGATAGGTTTTAATAAGCAGTCATATGTGTGATGGTTTATATAGGTTTTAATAAGCAGTCATGTGTGTGATGGTTTAGATAGGTTTTAATAAGCAGTCATATGTGTGATGGTTTAGATAGATTTTAATAAGCAGTCATGTGTTTGACACTGTTTTTTTCAGATAGTAGATAATTGCCAGGATATTGGTTGTGACCTTTGAACCACCACATTGATCTTTCACCTTATCACAATCCCATATTGTTGACATATGATACATGTATATATTTTCCTACAATTACTATGTTCACATGGCAGCATTCTACCGGAGCCACAAACTATTGCTCCTCCCACGAATTAACTGGAGATTATCTCCAATGCGTTCATATGGTTGGGAGCCGAACGAGAGCCGAGATCTGCCATAGTTTGATTCAGATTTTGCTGCGGAAATGTTTGATAGTGCGTCAGAACCAGGGAAACCAGCGAATACATTTTTGCATAAAAACCGACTGATTGTAATATACAATGTAACTCTAAACTTGTATACTGATTGTAGCATGTCTCTTATGGTTATGCTTTCAATAACAAATGGCAGATTGTGTGATACTGCCTCACACATCAGCCTTTGTCTTAGCCCCGTCATTGAACTTTTGACGTATATTTTTACACAGACATTGATGAATGCCATGAACAGAATATCGATTGTGGTAGTAATCGTATGTGTTTCAACCAACGTGGTGGATATGAATGTGTTGATATCCCTTGCCCGGCAAATTATGAAAGAACAGAAAGAGCAGGGTAAGTGTTTGTTCAGTATATTCTTAAATTAAACTGAATGGGATTAGGAGAAGACTATTAGCTGATCATATGAGTGATTGTCCCTCGGCGTCTCTCGCCGTCCGTGTCAACTTTTTACATTTTCTACTTCTTTTTGAAAACTACCTTGGGCAGACCTCTCTTAGATTTGTTCATTTCGTGATGATATCTTTAATTCTCTAATTTTATTTTTGGCATTTTTGATAAAAAGTGATAGTTTCGACTTCTTGTTAAAAGCCACAAGTCTGATTGCTTTGATAGTATACATAATAGGTACCTCAGGTAGACCGCACTCAGATTTGTTCATTCATGATGATATCTTTAATTCTCTAATTTTGATGAATATTTTTGTCATTTTTTGTATAAAGTGATATCCGATATTATACATATATGTACTACTGGTAGACCTCTCTCAGATTTGTTTATTTTCTAATGATATCTTCAGATCTTTAATTAAAACATGCATTGCTAACAACGGAGCTATCTCAGCCAATAGGCTGCTTGTATTTTAGATCACAATGGTCATTTGTATTTAACCTTTTCACCACCAGTTCCCTCTTTTCATCAAAAATTCACAAAATAGTCCCGTTTATCCAGTTAGCCCAATTTTTTTAGTAAAACCTGAAAATTGACTCAAATTGTGTCTGTTGGCTACAAAATTAGGATTCATTTCAAGAAATATTGAAGAATGAATGAAAAAAAGTGCATAACAATTTGGGTGAGAAAGTCTAGTAGTAAAAAGGTTAAGGTCTATACTTTCATCTTTGTTGTAATTTTCTTTTTCTGAGTTAATATCCAAATAAGGATACAATTATGCAATAAAAATTATTATTATTATTCAAAGATAACAGTAATAATTGTATTAAGAATAATACTAAACATTATAGTTATAGTGAACCAAAGTTGGAACCCCTGAATCACACAGGACACAATGGTACACTCTTTGCAAGGCAAACAAAATATTTGTAATAATATGTGCTTATTATGAGGATACTGCTTTCCTCATAATAACCTTATTATTATACATCTTTTTCTCCCAGGAATACATCATGGGAATGCCCAAATCCAAAACGTTTAGAACAGATTCATCAAACTACTATGTGTGGGTCCGGTCAAACTCCCATGGCAGCCATGTTTGTTTTTAGTATTAGAGGATGCTTACACGCATAATCGTTCTATATTTGGAATTGGCATTTCCTAATATGGTAGGATGAAAATACCCAGTGCAATACCGCAAAATTACAGCCCGCTGTATCTTATGACATTACGGTAACAGATGTGTAATAATAAAAAATAATAATAATAAACATTACAATTACAGTACACCATTAATAAATATGCGATATCATAGAATGATAGTCGGTAAAATCTGTATCTAATGATTTTATCTATACAAATATCAGGTATTGTGTGCGAAAATGTCCATACAACGATGTCCACTGTCGTAGAGATGTACTGGAGTATATGACATTATCGTTAGCGAATGGTATTCGTAGCCACCAGGATCTCATACGATTATTCACCAAAATACAAGATGGCCAGATTCATGAGAATTCTTTTTATAAGATTATACAAAACACATCTAGGGTAAGTAAATTAAATGATTTTGAATTGTCCCTCCAGGAAAAAGAGTTAAATTTTTTTTTTTTTATTTCATATACCATATTTGCTCTATTAGATGGGAACTTAAACATTACATTTATTGAATGCAGTCTCATTGAAGTTAGGCTTATTGTAAACCGACGTGCAGCTATTATTTACATGTGCACATGTACTGCTAATAGGGCAAATTAATTAATTACTGAGCCTAAATCATTTTGTGGTACCAAATGCGAAATCAGAGGGTATTATTTCAGGTCATGTGGTCTATGCTTATTCTGATATAATGTAAATAGCTAGAACAAAAAATAACATTTCCAGATGTATAGGTAGTGTTTAGTGCATAGTCAACTGTCTAGGTGCTGTTCAAATGTGCATAACCAGTTGGCTAGATGCTATGTACATTGTCATAGCCAGCTGTCTTGGTGATATTTACATGTGTACAGCCAGCTGTCTCGGTACTGTTTACATGTGTACTGACAGCTGTCTAGGTACTGTTTACATGTGTACAGACAGCCAGAGACAATGGTACACTCTTTGCGAGGCAAACAAAATATGTGTAATAGTATGAGATTATTACGAGGATACTGCTTTCCTCATAATAACCTTATTATTATACAATTTTTTCTCCCAGGAATACATCATGGGAATGCCCAAATCCAAAACGTTTAGAACAGATTCATCAAACTACTTTGTGTGGGTCCGGTCAAACTCCCATGGCAGCCATGTTTGTTTTTAGTATTAGAGGATGCTTACACGCATAATCGTTCTATATTTGGAATTCGCATTTCCTAATATGGTAGGATGAAAATACACAGCCAGGTGTCTAGGTACTGTTCACATGTACATGGCTAGCTGTCTAGGTACTGTTCACATGTACATGGCTAGCTGTCTAGGTACTGTTCACATGTACATGGCTAGCTGTCTAGGTACTGTTTGCATGTGTACAACCTGCTGTCTAGGTAGTGTTTACATTTACACAGACTGCCATCTAGGTGTTGTTACAAGTACACAGCCAGCTGTCTAGGTGTTGTTTACATGTGCATAGCAAGCTGTATAGGTCCTGTTTACGTGTGTACAACCTGCTGTCTAGGTACTGTTTACATGTGCACAGCCAGCAGTCTAGGTACTGTTTACGTGTGCACAGCCAGCTGTCTAGGTGTTGTTTACATGTGCATAGCAAGCTGTATAGGTCCTGTTTACGTGTGTACAACCTGCTGTCTAGGTGATGTTTACATGTGCACAGCCAGCTGTCTAGGTACTGTTTACGTGTGCACAGCCAGCTGTCTAGGTGTTATTTACATGTACATAGCCAGCTGTCTAGGTAGTGTTTACATTTACGCAGCCTATCGTCTAGATGTTGTTACAAGTACACAGCCAGCTGTCTAGGTATTGTTTACATGTGCATAGCCAGCTGTCTAGGTACTGTTTACATGTGCACAGCTAGCTGTCTAGGTACTGTTTACGTGTGTACAACCTGCTGTCTAGGTAGTGTTTACATTTACGCAGCCTGCCGTCTAGGTGTTGTTACAAGTACACAGCCAGCTGTCTAGGTATTATTTATATGTACATAGGCAGCTGTTTAGGTACAGTTTACATGTACATAGTCAGCTGTTTAGGTACAGTTTACATGTACATAGTCAGCTGTATAGGTCCTGTTTACATGTAGATTAACATTTTTAGCTCCGTTGTCGACTTTGTCGAGCGGAGCTTATCATATGAGTGATTGTCCGTCGTCGTCGTCCGTCGTCAATGTTTTACTTTTTCGACTTCTTCTTGAAAACTACAAGCCTGAATGCTTTGATACTTGGTGTATATGTACCTTGGGTAGACCTCTCTTAGGTTTGTTCATTTCATGTTGATATCTTCAATTCTCTAATTTTGGTGAATATTTTTGTCATTTTTGGTAAAAAGTGATATTTTCGACTTCTTGTTAAAAACCGCAAGTGCAATTGCTTTGATATTACATATATAGGTACTACATGTGGACCTCTCTCAGATTTGTTCATTTTGTAATGATATCTTTAATTCTCTAATTTTGGTGAATATTTTTGTCATTTTTGGTAAAAAGTGATATTTTCGACTTCTTGTTAAAAACCGCAAGTGCAATTGCTTTGATATTACATATATAGGTACTACATGTGAACCTCTCTCAGATTTGTTCATTTTGTGATGATATCTTCAATTCTCTAATTTTGGTGAATATTTTTGTAATTTTTGGTAAAAAGTGATATTTTCAACTTCTTGTTAAAAACCACAAGTCCGATTGCTTTGATATTACATATATAGGTACTACATGTGGACCTCTTTCAGATTTGTTCATTTTGTGATGATGTCTTCAATTCTCTAATTTTCGTGAATATTTTTGTAATTTTTGGTAAAAAGTGATATTTTTGACTTCTTGTTAAAAACCAATAGTTCAATTGCTTTGATATTACATATTTAGATACTACATGTAGACCTTTCGCAGATTTGTTCATTTTGTGATGATATCTTCAATTCTCTAATTTTGGTGAATATTTTTGTAATTTTTGGTAAAAAGTGATATTTTCGACTTCTTGTTAAAAACCGCAAGTCCAATTGCTTTGATACTATACATATTGTTCATTTTCTGATGATGTCTTCAGTTCTTTAATTGAAATGTGCATTTCTAACAGCGGAGCTATCTCAGCCGATAGGCTGCTTGTATTAAAGGTGCGTTCATTTGGTAACACAAAAAACATTTTAGCTCAGTATTACATGGACGAAAAAGTAAAATTAAAATTTTTTAATTTCCGACCTTTATTTGTTGAACTGTGTTTTGAAAAAGAAGAAAATTAAGTGACTTCACATTGAATATTATTAGTTAATAAATGAGACAAATTAAAACATTCTGTTCTTTTTATTGAAGTGTAATTCATGTCCTTACTGATACATTTTCATTTATATAAATTAGTTCCTTTCATCTTAAACTAATTTCCAATGTGATTCAGTGGTAATGTAGTATTTCAGTTAGTGTTAACTTTAGTGAAATATCTGTCTATCAACAACTTGGAGTTTAGTAACATTTAGATAATTGTGTTGTAATGATTTTTGATCCAAGTTTTCCAATAACCTTACTCCCAATGGCCGACTGGCAGCTTCGATATTCCAGTTTGACCTTTGACATGGTGATTCATTTGTTGACCTTTGACAGTTATCCGTATTCTGACCTTTGACAGTTATCCATTTTTTGACCTTTGACAGTTATCCATAACTTGACCTTTGACAGTTAACCATATTCTGACCTTTGACAGTTAATCATATTCTGACCTTTGACAGTTATCCATTTTTGACCTTTGACAGTTATCCGTAACTTGACCTTTGACAGTTAACCATATTCTGACCTTTGACAGTTATACTCATTTTGACCTTTGACAGTTATTCATATGCTGACCTTTGACAGTTATACTTATTCTGACCTTTGACGGTTATCCATACTCTGACCTTTGACAGTTATCCTTATTCTGACCTTTGACAGTTATCCATAATCAGACCTTTGACAGTTATACTTATTTTGACCTTTGACAGTTATCCATTAACTGACCTTTGACAGTTATCCATATGCTGATCTTTGACAGTTATACTTATTCTGACCTTTGACAGTTATCCACAAACTGACCTTTGACAGTTATCCATATGCTGACCTTTGACAGTTATACATATTCTGACCTTTGACAGTTATACTTATTCTGACCTTTGACAGTTATCCACAAACTGACCTTTGACAGTTATCCATAAACTGACCTTTGACAGTTATCCGTATTCTGACCTCTGACAGTTATCCATAAACTGACCTTTGACAGTTATCCATATTCTGACCTTTGACAGTTATACTTATTCTGACCTTTGACAGTTATCCATATTTTGACCTTTGAAAGTTATCCACAAACTGGCCTTTGACAGTTATCCATATTCTGACCTTTGAAAGTTATCCACAAACTGGCCTTTGACAGTTATCCATATTCTGACCTTTGATAGTTATCCATAATCAGACCTTTGACAGTTATACTTATTTTGACCTCTGACAGTTATCCACAAACTGACCTTTGACAGTTGTCCACAAACTGGCCTTTGACAGTTATCTATAAACTGACCTTTGACAGTTATCCATATGCTGACCTTTGACAGTTATACTTATTCTGACCTTTGACGGTTATCCATACTCTGACCTTTGACAGTTATCCACAAACTGGCCTTTGACAGTTATCCATATGCTGACATTTGACAGTTATACTTATTCTGACCTTTAACAGTTATCCACAAACTGACCTTTGACAGTTATCCATATGCTGACCTTTGACAGTTATACTTATTCTGACCTTTGACAGTTATCCAAAAACTGACCTTTGACAGTTATCCATATTCTGACCTTTGACAGTGATCCACAAACTGGCCTTTGACAGTTATCCATAAACTGGCCTTTGACAGTTATCCATATTCTGACCTTTGACAGTTATACTTATTCTGACCTTTGACAGTTATCCATATTCTGACCTTTGAAAGTTATCCACAAACTGGCCTTTGACAGTTATCCATATTCTGACCTTTGAAAGTTATCCACAAACTGACCTTTGACAGTTATCCATATGCTGACCTTTGACAGATATACTTATTCTGACCTTTGACAGTTATCCATATTCTGACCTTTGACAGTTATCCACAAACTGGCCTTTGACAGTTATCCATAAACTGGCCTTTGACAGTTATCCATAAACTGGCCTTTGACAGTTATCCATATTCTGACCTTTGACAGTTATACTTATTCTGACCTTTGACAGTTATCCATATTCTGACCTTTGAAAGTTATCCACAAACTGGCCTTTGACAGTTATCCATATTCTGACCTTTGAAAGTTATCCACAAACTGACCTTTGACAGTTATCCATAAACTGACCTTTGACAGTTATCCATAAACTGACCTTTGACAGTTATCCATATTCTGACCTTTGACATTTATACTTATTCTGACCTTTGACATTCATACTTATTCTGACCTTTGACATTTATCCATATGCTGACCTTTGACAGTTATACTACTTCAGATTTTTCACTGTTCTCCAAATGGTTATGTGACCTTTTTTTACCAAAACAATGACTGTCTTGAGCGATACGATGCAAATTATACTTTGACCTGATATTCTTTTTTCACACTGTTTCATCTGTACTGTTTTTGAACGGATATGTGCATTGAAATACTTATTTCACATGTCACATGGACTGTACGATTTTCAGTGAATAGAAATGTTTTTTTTGGGGGGAAAATACAAATAAATAAATTGTTATCAGTATTATGAATATAAAATGTCTGCAACAAAACAAAATCCTTTAGTCTAACCCCTGAGATTTCAAATGGATAAGCCCTTATAAAACTGTTTTAAAATTGACTTTTCACAAATCATTCACTGACATTACATTCAACATGACATGACTTTTAGTGGCAATCTGAATAACGCAGGAAAACCTCTGCAACACTAGATATGTAAGGCCATTTCTCATAAATATGCTAACAGTAATGATCCAGTCCTAGAGTAGTTAGTTGAAATAAATTATAGTATTAGTTAGGGATGACGTCAAAAGATCGATGTCAGATAAAAAACTTAATTCCTTTAGTTTTTTT